AAGAAAAAACATTTACTCCAGCAAACAAACAAAAGGGAGTACGGAGTATTAATTTTACTTATGAGTAAATAATTTGGACCCATTTTCCGATGGGCCCTACCCCGACAAAGTAGTTTGGGTTGAGACGGAATTGGGAATTTGTTGTTACTGCAAAAAGAGTTTGTTACTGGGGATTCCATGCACGAAAAAGTGGGGACCACTCATGCTCTCTGTCCTTTTTATGGGTTGTTTGGACATTTTCCTTTCTACTCGGTATGTACCCTAATGGGGTACACATTTGGTGGACAAGGAGGGGGTGAGGGACAAATGGGATACAAATTTGGTGTACCTTTAACATTTTTTTTTTTAAAACATAAAGAAAATATTAAAACCATAATTTTATATTTTATTTTCGAAATAGAAGTTTATATTTTGGTCATTTGACACCGTAAATGAGAATTTTAATATACTTTTTTGGTAAAGTACATAGTCATGATTGGTAATGTAGATGTACTTTAACTCTTATTTTGGAAATAAAAACATGAGACTCGTATTCTGGTATATTTTCAATATTTTACCCCTACGTTAATTTTTTTTCCTTTTTTTCATCTTTGTTAATTAGAAAATTTTTAGCATGTTTTCACACAAACTTTTTTCTTTTCTCTCAATATTCTTTCTCATCTAAAGAGAAATTGTATTGGATTTTCTCATCTCCTTTTGTTCTTTTTCACCATTTTCTCAGCAACAACACAATGGGATGTGATGGAAAAAATTAATTCTGATAATTTATTTAGGATTTCTAGCACTCCCTCCCCTCGTAAAACATTTAATCTTTCACTTTTTTCTGTCCTAAAAAAATTCATTTTTTTGTTAAAGAATTATTTTTACACCTACTTATTCATATCCTAGTTATCATATCATATATATATTTACTACAAATCTACTTAATGCATTCTATTTTTACCAATTACATCAAGACTAACTTTGAAAAATCAAAACAAAATATTTTTCTATTAAATTTTATAAAAATTAAAAGTGAAGAGTAGGACACCGGAGCATATATATAACTTTTGGAAAATTGGAGTGAATAGAAAATGATTTTGGAAATCAACCAAATGAAGTCATATTCAAAGGGAAATGATTTTCCATTTTTTTGGCGGAAGATATGCTTCCCATTGATTAAAAAATATCACTTTTTTAAAAAGAAAAATTATCACAGTTAATTATGTTATAGTAACATAAATTAGATTTCATGTTAAAGTGTTTCTTTGGTGCACATTGGGTGAATATCATTTTTCTAAACTCTCTCACATAAATGTTTTTAAAAAAATTATTAAAAAAATACAGGGTAGATGCTTATTTAAGTAGAAAAAAATGAAGTAAATTCTATAATTGGTCCTTTATAACAGGGGGTTTCCCTATTTAGTCCTCTATTATCAAATATTACCCAAGTGGTCCTTCTTTTATGAGTATCTTTCCACAAATAGTCCTTTTTTTGATCTTCTATCATGTTGGTGTTAATTTGAGGGCTAGAAATGTAATTTCACAATGATAATATATCTTTTTTGTCATACACAATTCCAAAGGCTGTTCTGCTTGCATCGTTTGTGAATTACAGTCGCTTTTTACAACAACTAGTCTACAAATGTGATCTTTCGTCAGAATCCTAGCCCACAATCATAGTCATTATTTTTTTGTTATCCGCTTAACCAATATCAGAACACGTCACTAGACATAATGTTGGTGTCAAATTATATTTTTAGCATTTAAATTAACACCAACACGGCAAAAGATCAAAAAAGGACCATTTGTGGAAAGGTACCCTTAAAAAAAGGACTACAGGAGTAATATTTGATAATAGAGGACTAAATATGGAAACCCCCCTGTTATAAAGGACCAATTATGGAATTTACTCAAAAAAATGCTTACTTTATTCATCCGAACTTTCAACCATTTACGGATATACTTAAGCAGTATAGGTGGGAGGGGGGGGGGGGGCGGTGATGGGGGAGTTAAAGGCCCCTATCAAGAGTTGTTCTATTATGATCCTAAAGTTTAGGTGTAAAATATGTACCTTCTCATTTACTCGTATTTTTTAAGGACTTACAATTGAATTTCTTAATTTATACGAGACTCTACATAAAATTATTTTATCTGTGGAGGTCCATTAAATAAGTATGAACCTACGGATCATAGAAGAATTTGACCCGAGGGAATCAATCACTTAGAAAGGGTTATCAAAATTAAAGTTTTCTCCCAATAAAAAATAAAAATACAACAAAAAACTGTAACACATTTTTAGTGGTAGGTCTCAGAGAAGTGAATGTTGTTATGACTTGTGAGATATATATGGATTGTTTTAATTTCTTTTTCTGACTTTTTTTAAAGATAATGTGGTCCTTTTTTCATTTGATCTAAATAGGACTAAAATATAATGACTTTCCCAATATAGAACCATATGTTTTTTATTTCCCAATGTAGGACTTTTGGTCATTATCAAGTAGTCATTATTCAAGTAAATATCTATCATTACTGGACATTATTCTTCCCACTAGGTCATTATTAAGTCCTATTTAGGAAATAAAAAATTTTAAGTTCTACATTAGGAAAATCATTATGTTTTAGTGGTATTTAATGCAAATTTTACTTCTAATTATATGATTGATTGCTAAGAATTTATCTATGATGCGGTCGATCTAATTGTAATTTGGACCGATGAATTAGAATTTAAGAGTTTTAAATCAAGTTTGCAAAAATAATTACTATTTTACAGAGATATTTAGTTTGGTTTTTCTAAAAAAAAAAATTGATAACCACGTGGTGGCCCACTAGCCAATGATTCCCTCCATGCAAGCCGGGCAGCTTAACTAACTCCAAATATTGTTATAGAACCCACCATGAGGTCAAATTCATGGCTAAATGCGATTGTAACGGGTTATACTTCAACAAAAACAAAAGAAAAAAAATTTTAAAATTAGTTCTTTATAATAGAAGTTGTTCAATACTTAGTCTTGGATTATCAGAAATCACTCTCATAATCCTTCTTTTATTGTTATCTTTTCATAAATATTGTTTTTTTTGACCTTTTGTCGTATTCTGATACTCCCTCCGCCCAAAAAATCTGTCCCATTTTATTTTTTACACATCTCATAAAACACTTCTATATCGTCTCAAATGTCAAAAGAACTTCCAAAATGCCTTCTACCCATAATAAAGGGTAAATGTGGTAAATTGTAGGCATTTTAGATGTGGATAGAAGTGTTTTTTGGGATGCGCAAAAAATGAAATGAGACAGACTTTTTGGGACAGAGGGACTATCTGTTAGAAAATCAATACTTTTATTTGTTAGCTTAAAATATAATTTCACATCACTCTCATAGTCCTTCTTTTATTGGTTTCATGGATTTTTATGAATATTAATCATTTGGTCACTAGCATAAAATCCTTGGGCTTTGGTATTTACTAAAATGGCTAAGTGGGATCTTGGAGATGGTTAAATGAATCTAAAATAATTAGACACAATTTGTTTTGAAAAAAAGTGTGACCAAGTGATTTCTTAATAAATTCCCTTTTTTTCTTGAAAGTAAATTTCACAAATGATTTTCTATTATTCAAAATATTCCACATTTTATCTATTACGGAGCATTTTCTAAATTTTCATTAAGAGTCTACGTCAATTGTGAATATTTTTTAGGATTAGTCCTCTATCTCATTAAATACCAACTAATAGTCCTTAAAATTTTGAATGTTACCAAGTACTAATTTTAGTCCTTTGTTAGTGGTATCATTTTGAGGATTCTTGATGGAAGAGTGGCTAAAATTGGAAATATCATACTTAAAGTGAACTTCCAATATAGTAAAATTTTATAAATAACAGATTAAATGTGAAAAGTCTTCGAACATGGAGGATCATTTGTGAAAATTAATTTTTTCATAATATACGACTACTATCTTTTCTTTGGATTTTTTTTTGAATAATTTTCTTTTCTTGGATTTGATAATTGATAAATAAAGAAGAACTAAAGAAGGATAATCAAACTCAAACCAGATCCCATAAAAACAGCAAATTCATAGGAATTTGTATCTTTAAATAATGGAGTCATGAAAAGCTTGTGATTTGCATATTTTAGGCACCAAACACTGACTGAGCTTGTACTCTTCAATATAAAATAAATACTCGATTCAACTACAAGTATAAACTGTTAGGGTCTGTTTGGTATATGGAATTGATCGATTTGGAATTGAATTGGAATTGAAATTTAATATGATTCAATTCCATAGAATTGAATTTCCCAATTCCAATTCGTTTTTTCCACTATCAATTTCAAATCCACATAATTTTTGTGCTACCGAACACCAGAATTGGAATTGAAGTCTTCAATTCCAATTCCATAGTCTAAATTCCGTGTAGAAACGAGGCCTTAATTAAATTTATTAGTTCTTTAACATAATATCATAGTCTTGCTGACCTGACAATCACAAACTCGAATCTCACCGTCAGTCACTTTAATAATAGTAATAATTATTGTTTATGTGCAAATATCGAGCGATTAAACCTTGTCACTTGACAATACAATGAATACATGAGGGGACATTAAATTTTTGGATGAATTGATTCTTTAGCAATTAGAACATACACTTGTTGAATTGAACACAATTTTCCTCACAAATTCTATTTTGCCATGAACTAATTACAACTACAAATAAACAAACCAAACAAATCGAGTTTATGTCACTCCAAACTCCAAAGTCACAACTAGAAGCAAATTGTATGCAGACCTTACCTCGATCCAAGAATTACAAATCGATATTTCCTACCTAACAACACATAAGTAAATAATACTTCTTTCATCGAACAAAAACTTTCCCATTTTCTTTCATAGTCTATACGAAATTAAAGTGAACAAATTAATTTAGAACATAATGAATAAACCCTTTTTTTTCTTTGGGGTGGGGGTAGGGGGGAGGGGTGGGGGCAGGTAAAATAAGCATTTCAACAACTAGTAAAACAAGAATTCATAAGGATGACAGCTTCAAATTAGGCGACAGCTTTGGAAGCCAAACAGATCAGAGGCTCTTCTGCTCAATCATTGGGTGCTGAAAGTTAGGTCATGCATTTCCTGTGTGAGTCTATTTGCACAGTTGTTTATTACCTATAAATAAATTAAGAAATAATTAATTAGCTTCTTAATTTTCTGACTGATTGAATGCAACAATAACAGTAATGATAGGATTATATTAAAGTCACACCATAGATGACACCAAAGTTGACAATGCAAGTCTTTCACAGACCACAGATAATGGTTATATGTGCGCGATTATCTCTAATAATGTCATCCTTGTAGTTAAAAGTATCACTTTGAGCTCTTCAACTAATAGATTGTGAATATGGTGTGTACATATACACAGTTTCATAAAAACTTATGAAGCATAGGAAATAAATTTCATTTGAAGTGAATTGAATCACTAGTTCACAAGTAAAGAAAAAGCCCACAAATTGATTAAATGAGTAAACAAAAGCCCACCCAGCAATGCCTATGATCAAATTAGCCTGTTCTCTTTTATTTGTTTTAAACATAAAAATCTACATTTAGTACCTAAAGTAGTGCGAATTATTTATATTTTCATATGAAAAAAAAACTATACTATCATTTTTCTTGTGAATTTAACAATTAATTTTTCTAATTTTTATCAATGTTCATAATAATTATAACCTAGATATGTTACATATTACTCCGCACTAAAAAGTATCGAAACAGTTTTAAATAAGCCTGGCATATGGCATACAGTAACTAATTACGAAGTACTCTCTTTGACTCTCTATCCCAAATTCACTTACACTGTTACTATGATAGCATCTCGATAATTTTTGTTTGTTTGAATATTTTCATTGATTATTTGATAAAATAAAACATTTTTGTCACTTCTTGTATTGTAAACTTTTGATGTAGTTTTTAAATATGTAAGTTGTATTTTTTATTCTATACTAACTTGTAAATAAAATAAATTAAAAATCAATGGATTTTGCATGTTTTTTTGAACAGTGTAAATGAATTTGAGACGGATGAAGTATATTTGTAATCAACTATAGAAGTTGGGAAATGCAGAACGCGCTTCTCAACAATATATTTTACTGCACTGCTAACTCTTAAAGTAACTATGTGAGGTTGGTGACTTACCTACACCAGTCAAGTTGGTTTATGCATATATGTCATTGCTTGTAATTCTTACACTCATGTTTAAAAACTGCACACTTTTTTTAGAATAAAAGTTTTTGTTTTTTAATTTATTTGTTAGTTTAGCTAAATTAGTCTAGGAGAATATCATAATAAAAAAATTAAAGGTGATGAAAATTAGTTTCTTTCTTGTTCAAATAAGACTGATTTTGGGACAAATAGTAAGTCTAGAAACAAGACTCATTTATATTTAGAATATGTGCAATGTTTGGTGTACATTAAAGGTCAAATTCATAGACAAAGTTTGTCATATGCAAAGACACTACATAATTTGTGATTTTGGATTTTGGTGTACAAAATGAACTTTTACTTTAGAATATACTTTCATTGATTCCCAATAAAAAAAATGGTCTTAAAAATTGCTGCCCAATAAATATAATTAACCATTTATTTTATTATTTAGATAATTGAAACTCCCAAACATGGAACACAATGTTGATATGGGAGAGAAATTATTCTATCTGTCCCAAAAAGCTTTACTCACTCTCTTTTTAGACGTGCCAAAAAAGACTTTCCACTTGCTTCATTTTCTTTTTGAATAATGAACATGTGCCTCACAAGATTTCTCTCTCATCTAAACAAAATCTAACAATACAGTTTTCAACACTTTTCTTAAATTCCGTGAAAGTCAAACAAGTAAATTTTTTTGAGACAGGATGGAGAACACAAAAATTACAGAGCATTGTAGGAAGAGAGTACACGCAAAACTTAGTTAGATGGCAAATTGACAAGGCAAGAAATCAACAACGTGGAAGAAATTTATAATCATCTTCTGCTCAAAAACTAAGTTGAAAAATGTAGTGTTGTGTAACATAAAGTAATGGTTTCATATACGCTTCTCTTATCTTGATATTTTTTGGGTCTTTCCTTTTCAATTGAAATTTACTAAAGGGACTTCAAAAAATGTTGAATTGCACTAAACTAAAAGTTGTATTCCCTTTGATATTTTCTTCCCATTTGACTTTTTACGGTCCACAATGTAACACTTTGATCATTAATATCTATATTTATATTAATTATATATAGATACTCCAAACAAAATTAATATTCAAAACTAAAATTATCACAACACAGTATATTTTTTTCGCATGCCGTGGTCAAAACTTACAAAATACAAACTTTGACCAATAAAAGTCAAATTGGAAGAAGATTTCCGACTAAGGAAGTACTAGATGCGAAATGTTGACCTATAGCCCAATATACGCCGTGCACTTAGGTGTCTATCTATGTCACTGGTGGCCCTAAGGGCGTCAGAGAGGTGTAGCCACTCAGAACCCTTACGGGCCCAAATGAAGGTATCGTTTGTTATCGACAATAGTTAATCTATTGATGCATATTACAAAGAGCATATTCAATGAGTGATCCACATTACTTCAAGTGTTAACTATGGAATTTGTTTGTACAAAAATGCATAATAGTGTTTAAATACATTTTCTTTAACATATCAATTTTTCTTTGAATTTGTGATTTTTTGCTTCATCACAAAAATATAGTGTTTAAAATACATTGTTTTAATTATCAAATTCTACTGAACTATTGTTCTTGTTGTGTTGCTTCATCACAAAAATAGTGTTTTAATTCTAAATACTACTCCGTAAAATATTAGAGAAATAGAGATTAACATCATAGAAAACTAATATATGAGCTAAGAGTATCTTTCTAAAGAATTAGATTAACTGATATACTATAAACTGTAGAGGCCCTAGTTTCCATCTTTGGACTAAGTCTCCAAAAAGTCTGGACTACCCTTACTCTCTCTATGACTGCTGAGCTAAATTTAGTTCAAAATTTCATTTTTAATTCTATAAGACAAATGGGTTGTTTAGAAGTTCTGCAAACAAACACGTCGCTTAGGATGACGAAGCTTGTCAAAAAGTAGTTCAGATTCTGAAAATGATGAGTTTTACAGGCATCAAATATTCAAATGAGACTGTTTCTGGGATACCATATCTTGTGGTGCTTCCCTATACGTCAGTTGTGTCTTTCCTTAAAGTCCAAACATCTTTGTTAAGTGTGCATTCGAATCAGTTATGTTCATACTACAGTTTTATGCAAACCAATCATCTAAACTCGGACACAATGGCCAAATGAACCGGCCAACCTTAATTTTCCCAAGAAGGGTTTCCTTTTAAAGTTCGCCAGCAATATTTCTTAACCTTGTTCCCCCTATGTAAATGACAAACTTAATCATGTTCCTAAATACACCTTTCATTCCTATTTATGTGTTTTCATTTCCAGAATAAGATTTTTCGTAAGAGTATAGAGTGGAGTCTGAAGTCCAGATGCAGTCCTAACTCTTAAAATCTTTAGAGTCGGAGTTCGGAAACTAGAGTCTAAAGATTAAAATCTGGATAACTAAAATTAAAAGTGGCATTGGATTCGGCTATTTGATAACTGGAAAGTGGAAATAAAAGTGGTATAGAACCGGGCCATTTGATGCCAAGGGTCAAGCAGGCCTCGTTTGGGAACTGCATTTTCATTTAGCGTTATTGTTTTAGATTACTTCTTAATTAGTTTTAGATTACTTCTTAATTATGCATATTAACTTTTAAAATGCTAAAGCTGAACCTAACGTTAGATAACCTTTTCAAAATGTTAAAGCTAAGGACCATGCTACACTTACACCAAAAATTATACCCCATTTGTACACCACAGTTATACACAAACATTTTGATGGTTTACACCGACACAAGTGTTGGTGCGTTAACAAAAATTTACACAAACACAAAGTGTTGGTGCATTAACAAAAATTAGTTTTACACCAACACAAAATGTTGGTGCAAACCTGCGGGGTACAAATGGGGTATAAATGTTGGGGTACACATAGCTTAATCCTAAAGCTAAACACCAAATCTGTTGTCAAATGGGAGTATGGTATAATAAGATCCTTTCAATAGGCAAAGTGAGGCAGACAAAAAGCATTTCCTGAGTTATACTCTAAAATCAGAAAGACAGAAAGAAAGAAAACACATAAGAGGCAAAACACAAATTCCAACTAAGAACAAAGTTAATGACTTCTAACCATGTGGCGATTGAGCATTTCGAGTTTTAGACTTGGATGTGTTTTGGGAGCTCCCCTTTCTTCAAGAGGGAGGCTGTGTACTCTGCAGCGTCGAGGAGGTCATCAATGTTGTGCCGGGACCGCTCCTCGGCACCTAGAAGAAAGATGGTGCGTGCCTCGGCTTTCTTCTGAAGCCTGGCAGCCAAATTCAGTGGCAGAATGGGAGAGTTAAGACTCCTCAGTATCTGGCGATACAGAGAGAGAACCTTTCCCCTGTTCCTTGCCATCTCCTCAGCTGTCACCCATATCATACTCTTCCCCATTCTTAAATTTCACTGTAAAAAAAGAAAACAGTAAAAATCATCAACTTTCTTGGAGTATCTAGTAACCCGATGTCACTACTTAACCGAACCACGCATATGTTCAATATGAAAAAGATAACATCATCAAGGCATAAAGACTTGAACTTTTCTGCTAGTCCATAAAGAAAATGATCCTGAACATTAAGTGACAGTCACACCAAGGCCTGTGAAAAGGGTGTTCGCTTAGGAATTTCATCAAACAGTTTGTGGGCATCAATTTCTTTTTGACAAATCATTGTCGGGAGATTGATCATTTGAGCATAAAAACAATCCTGAAACTGAGAAAGCAGGAGACAAAGGGTGGTGCGCATGGAAAATGGATGTTCAAAGATTATTCTTTTACAGATACAGAAATAAATTTGGGTTGGTTTGGGATGAACATACTAACCCGCGTATTTTCCTTCTGGAGAATGTGAAACGCGCGGTCTGATGCTTAGAATGCTAGCTACTGAGCAGTGATCAGATCACACAAGTGTTTAGGTTTTCGTTCTTTTTTCGAAATGATTGGATTGATTGACATTTGTCCATTATCATCTTAGTATTTTGAAAATGTTATATGATAGTAGATTTTGGCATTAGCATTTTCTGAATTATTCTACACCGTTAATATTTTATCTAAAACACTAACACTAATTGAATGCAATGTGTTTTTGACTTTTAAGTCTATTTTCTATTATTTGTCACAATTTGACTTTTTAGTTGAATTATGGTATAATTTGAACATAAATTAAGTATAGTCTAAAATAATTAAGTAATATAAAAATTTGGTATTTCAAACTTTTTTAATAAATCCAATTTTACTAATTTTACATTATAACTAAATATACTTTTTCATAATTCGCGCTCAAAGAGTGTCACCGTTCGACGTGACAAGTCGAACTGTAGTTATAGAAGGTATGCTCTACAATCGGGTGTATTTCGAGCTAGATATATCCGTCAAATGTTCATTTTGAAGGACGTAATATTAATTTTCTCCATTTTTTCATTATAATTATAATATAAATCTACGAACAACGTCATATTCATCTTGAAACAATGTAATTTTTCATTCCCCTGCTACCACCTCCTCGACCTTCAAAGATAGAGGCAGCAAGAACAATATTTTTCCGTCACTACCTCCCCCGACCTTCAAACATAGCGGCAGCATGCAATAACACTGCTAAGTTCACACAAACGTGTTAGTCCAACCCATCCATATCCAAAGACCAAAATGTCACATGGTCTAAGTAGTGTGAATCTTCCTTACAAATGAGTCACTCAAAAAATTCAAAGGTATTTCTTTCTTAGTAGAAATCCCAGCACGTGAGTATATGTTGAAGAGAAAGCTCATGACCAAATCATGTCAGCATTTAAACCCGGTTAGCTCTCTACAATGTACTTGAGTGATACTCAAGGATAGAACAATACTTGAGTGATTTTATCTAGGATGATATGGTTCTATCTTACACAACTAGTGTGTTATCAGAGTTTCTAGATATGAACTTAATATTTTTTTACTTATTTTATTTATAGGATGATATTTTCACCACTTTCTTTTTTTAGATATGAACTTGATATTTTTTTACTTATTTTATTTATTTTTTAATAATGAATATTTGGCTCACAAAATCTCTCATTCATCTAAATATTCTTTTTATTCACTTTAATTCTTTTCAATTTGACTTTCATGGTCAATATCTTTAAACTTTGACTATATTTTATGGAAAAATATATTATATTTATAATTTGACTATAAATTATGGAAAATACACTTAATATCAAAAAATATTTTTTTAAATATTATATTTTTATAATAAACTGTGCCTTTGTGATCCTAAAATTCAGATTAAAATGTAAACCTTATTCTTATATTTTCATGGGCTGATTATAAATAGATTTTTTCTTTTTTGAAAATGACCCGGTTTTTTTATATTTACAACTAAGGTCTATATTTCAATTTACAATAGTTAAAATATTTATTTCATTAAAAATGGTGAAAAGTTAAAAATGAAAGAATCCAAACTCATCTAAAAATAAACAAAATACTCCCGTTTTTTTTGGAGTAAAAAAAGAAGCTAGCAGTGGAACTCTATTTTCCAATGTTGGAGTGTGTGACCTTGTTCCTCTTCTTCACGTGACAGTTCACAGAACCACCATGCACGGCGGTCATGCACCCAAGCTTTCTCTTCACTTTCTTCCACACGCTAACTGAACTCCCCCCCTTCTCCTTCGTCCCACTCTTATTATTAGTACTATCCCCTCCTCTTCTTGTTCCTCCCTCTTCCCACTTTGGCGGCGCCGCCGCCCCCTCGCCGGAAACAATGGTGTCCCTCAGCTTCATCTGGCTCAAGAACAGCACCTGCACCACCAGCCTCAGCGGCATCCGCTGGTTCCTCGCGGCGTGCTCCCGCGCCTCCTCCGACATCCTGCTGCAGTCGACGACCCCGCACACCGCCTCCCTCTCCCGCTCGTTCAGCCACTCGTGCTTCTCGAGGAACACGTCGGCCGCCCTGTAGAGGGCGTCCGAGCACCCGTTCGTCGCCGCCCTCACGGAGTTGCACAGCTCACCGAGGGCGACGAACGCGGACGCCTTCAGCTCGGGGTCCGAGGACACCGAGGACACGAAGGCGTCCATTGCGTCTCCCACTTTCACGAATCCCGAGATGTCGGGGACTCGGTAGCAACGACAGTAGTTCTTCAGTATCCTCTTCACGCGCTCGGCGTTGTATTTTTCTTCTGGACCGTCTCCGGGGAGCCGGGACAGGAAGATCAGGTCAGGGACGGTCGCCTCGTCGAGGCGCTTCCCGATTCTGCCCTCCAACCCGTCCCGGCATTCCTCGCTCGAGCCCGTCTCCTCGGCGGACTCCAGCATTTCCACCAGGGTTAGAAAGGGAATAACAACTTCTTCTTCCTCGTCGTCGTCGTCCTCGCCGCCAGGCAAGAGCCTCTCGACGGCTTCCACCGCTTCTCTGTCTCCTTCTGCTTTGTGCTTTGTGAAGTAGCGGCACATAGAAGCGGTGGAGTACTCGAGCGGTACACGGCGGCAGATCATTGCCGCCATGATCGGCTCGTACAGCTTGACCCCGAGGACGGTCAGGTCCTCAGTTTTCCAGTCCGGGACGAACAGAGTCCTCCTCGGGTTCGCCCTCGTCCTGCTCTGGACGATGGCAGCATTGCCGTCCGTACTTTTCTTGACCATCGGCTCGTCTGCGACGAGCCGAGGGTCGAGAAGAGCCTGGGCGACGAGGGACTCAGCGGCCTCGTCGACGAGGCCGAGCTCGGCGGCCTGGTCGAGGTGGCGCTCCATGACTAGGAGGGCTCTCAAGGACTTGTTCCAGCTGGGGAGGACGTTGTGGCGGAAGTGGGCGTAGGCCATCATGAGGAGGTTGTTGGGGCGGTGGTCGTCGGTCATGCCGAGGTGGTAGGCCAGCCAGGTGACGGGGAAGACGTTGTCGGCGGTGAGGTCGACGGCGTAGCCGTGACAGAACCTGGCCACAAGTTCGAATGTTTGTGGGTCCGTGGGGAGGGTGTCCTCCCCCAGTAGGGCACATAGGTTTTTCTCCTCTGGGTTCTCTCTCAGCCCTTCTGCCACTCTTGAGGACTTTTCTGCCAAGAGCTCCTATACAAACAAACAAATTAAACACACATTTTCAGCCACTCTTGAGAGTGTACAAAAGTAGTTAATTTCACTCGAAAAGATTAAATAGAACGAATAATAGAGAAGCGAAGTAATCCTCACTCTCCGTTTCTTAAAAAATTTCTTTCATTTTTTTCACTCTCTCAAAAACACTTTCACTTTTCTTACCTTATCTATCACATCATACTTTTCACTAATAATTTACTCATCACATCTTATTTTTATTTATTAGATCAAAAACAAAATTAAAAAGTCAACTATATTTATACATTCATTATATTGCAACAAAGTCAAAATAGGAACATTTTAATGAAACAGAAAGAGCATTATTTTTATGTATCATATAAACCACTTGCTTTCTCTATATATTCTTGAAAATAGTTCCTCTTTTATTTTTATTGTTTTCTTCAAAATACTTTGACTTTTGTAAAAATGACAAATACGATAATATCTAAATAAAGTCATTATAATATATGGAGCACTTTATTCATTTTACATTCAATGCTAAGAATATAATTAGAAAATCAAATTACTTCGTACAAAAATAGACCACCTGGCAAAAATCAAAATATGAAATCTTCTCTCAATAAAATAAAGAAGGTTGTTAAATAATTACCCTATCCACTGCGCAGGTGACTCCATCGATTCGTACATGGAGAACGGATGTCGAATGTTGTTTTGTTCTCCTAAACGAAACAATTTAAAAAAAACAGTGACGAAAGTTTCAAATAATATAAAATAAAAACACAATTATTATTTCATTATATTGAGAATTGAAATAAAAATAATGTTTAACTATACCTGCAGCTGGATATAGATCTAGTAGTATTGTTCTTTGTGGCCATCATATCTTATAAATAATGGATATAGAGTTTCTTTTCCTTCTTCTGTTTCCAAATTGATCCTGTTTATGCATATAATATAATTTCCAGTAAACATTACATTTTGAATCAAGTGAGAATATGATCTAATGAAAAAATAAGAATGTATCTCGTGCATTCGATGTAAGATCTAATGCTTGAAAAAATCAACAAAAAAAAAATGAAAAAAATCTGAAAAAATGCGATGGCGTTAATTATGGTAAATAAGTCGAACTTCACTCCCAGTGCCGAAAACGCACTACCACAATGTAAAAATGCATCGGCATAAAAATGCATCATTCTCACGATAAAGTCTATTCTCTCAGTTTTTATATATAAATAAAATCTCCAATCAAATGAAGAGTAATTAAGATAAATGGGGTGGGTTAATTATTACCCGTAGTAATTAAGGTACCTGTTGCGTTGCATGCAAGATCATCGATGAGGAAATTATTAAAGAATTTGAGGTGGATGATGATCCAAGTGGGTTTTTGTTTGTTTTTCTTTGGGGTTTAATTTGCTGATCGATTATTACTCGGATCGGTAATTAATTAATTTAAGAGTTTAAGATGGCAAAACGAATTGAATATAAAGACTGATTCAAACGTCCAGGCATAAGATGTGGACTTTCTGTTATTTTCAAATTTTTCAATTTTAATAAATGAATAGTTAAGACCATTTTGTTGTGGCGGGCGAATTTAGAATTATAGTGAGTATTAGAGATATATTTTTATTTTTAAAATACGATAATTTTTTATTTTTTTCAAACAAAGAGTGTCATATTTTTTTAATCTTCAAAATATAATCAAAATTAATTTTTAAATTTAAAAAAATGAAGGTGCTTTTCTGACTTGTACAACTTCAGGGCACACTTAAAATTATTCGGCAATTAATTCGAATTATTCTCATTTTGAAATTATTCTCATTTTGTTTAATTTTGAAAAAGGATGGCTATATGGGCATTTTTAAATATATTTTCATGATTTTTTGTTCTTTTTTCTTTTTTTTTTTTGAAATTTTATGATACAAATGTAACATTGTATTGTATATTGGCAAATCACACTTACTATTTTTAGGCATTTTGTTATATTTTGAGAATATCTATTGGTACGTTTAATTTAGATTATGAAGTGTTATATTTGTTTATACTAGTATTCTGACCCGTGCCATGCACGGGGTCGAAAGAAATTGATGTCGTTTCTGAATTATTTCAATGAAATTTATTTTTCGGAATAAAGAAAATATATTGCTCACATGATTTTTAATACTACAAATGAAAAAAATCAAAGTAAAATAAATAATATTTGAGGAACAGAATGTAGAGTTAACAATGTTTATTTTAATACCAAATTTTCTTAAAGACTTCAGGGTATACAACATGTTTGGTATGGTTGCAAGGGTTTCCATTGTCATCTAGAATTAATATTTTTAATCCTGTCTTTGTCTTCACTCGTGAAACAGGAAAATATAGTTGACCATGCGTGAACACTGACTTGGTTAAAAATAACCCCACAAATGACAATGTTTGACCTTGATATTTGTTGATAGTCATAGCAAAACATTAGGCGATCGGGAATTGTCTTCTTTGGAACTTCAAGGGTAGCCCTGGATCAGATGGTACCAAATTCATTCTAGGGATGTAAACTTTTTCCCTGACTCGATTTCCCGAAACCACAATTGCATGGATAACATTATTTCGCAGCTCTTGAACGATTAATCTTGTCCCATTACACAATCTAGATGTTTGGTCAATGTTCCTCAATAGCATAATCTGTACCCCTTTTTTCAGGACTATTTTGTGGTTTGGGATTCCCGAACATTTGATTTCGTTCAAAAACTCAACTGTTATCCAACCGCCATCAACACCTACATCTGCTTCTGTTTGGCATGAAGAATCAGAACTCAAGTACTCCTTTTCATCACCTGGAATGAGAGACGGAACAAATTCATTTATCATTTCAACTACTTCGAGAGTTGGTGCCAATAGTGCTCTATCCTCAAAAAAAGAATAATTTTTCATATTCTCAAACATAAGTCATTTTCCAATATAAGACTTAAACTTTTTCAAATTTTTCATTTTTCATTTTTTCAAATTTTTCTTTTTTCAAATTTTTCATTTTCCAAACTTTTTCCCAATATAATTTTTCAAGTTTTTCATTTTCCATATCTGCACTAAATCACAATAAAACAAAACTCATTTCTCAATATAAGACTTAAACTTTTTATCCATTAAATAACACTTAATAATGTCTAGAAGGAAAAATAATATCCAGAGACGATAAACATTTATCTAATTAATGACTAATGGATAATGACTATAAGTATATTTTCCAATTTAAAAATTATATTTGAACTTTGAATTATTTACATTGATCATTCCGAATCAAAGCCTAAATTTTTTTCCTCGGAAAATGCTAGAGTCACAGACTTAAATTTCACAAACTTGCCTTTTGTGGAATTTAAGTTAAAATATTTTTTAATATTTGAGTGCATCTTATTTCTAAGAAAATGCTAAAAAGGCAAGTTTGTGAATTTTGTGAACTGTTTGTTTGTGATTCTAGCATTACTCTTTTTCCTCACATGCATATCATTTTATTTTAAAATATGTACTCACATTTTTTATATTCACCCATTTCATATCAAATTTATTGCAAATTTTTGATTTTTTTTAAATTTTTCAATGTTTAAGCACAAATTTTAGGAAAAATTATATTTTCTTCTATATTGGCATAAAACTATATTGCTATTTGACATTTTGACCACAAGGTATTAGGCAACTTTGGGCATGATTTGTTGTTTTTTTTAAATTTGAAAAAAATGGATTATATTGAAAGAATTTTTTTTTTTTTTTAAAAAGTCGGAGGTGGCATGAGTCGCCCATGCATCATCAATGATCGGATCTGGGTTGCAGAGAGAGGTGAGATTCGATAATGGCGTCAAAGGAATCGGCAGAAGGGTCAGTGCAGAACGTATTGGATCAGGAGACGCTGAAATGGGTGTTCGTGGGAGGGAAGGGCGGAGTGGGGAAGACGACTTGCAGCTCCATCATCGGGATCCTCCTCTCCCGGGTTCGATCCTCCGTCCTCATCATCTCCACCGATCCCGCCCACAATCTCAGCGACGCCTTCCAACAGCGCTTCACCAAGGCTCCCACCCTCGTCAATGGCTTCTCCAATCTCTACGCCATGGTACTGCGATTTCCACTCCCCCGATTCCCTTTGTTCGTTGTTGATTTTTGCATAACTATCTGAATTGAGTAAAAATTACATCGCAAATTAGTTCAAAAATGGTTCCATTAGATTTATCTTGCAAAAAAAAAGTACTCCGTATTTCATTGTGTCAATGTGCAATGCAATTTTTATGTAATTGGTGATTAAAATTGATCTAATTTGGCTCGGAAAAGTAGAACTGGACGAATACACTGTGACTGAAGCAGTATTTTTGGTGGTATCGATATCCTAGCTTTGATGACCGAAAGGTCATAGGTTCAATTTTGTAAGGTATGAAGGTCCTTTTTTTGTTCTTGCATTTTAAGTGCAAATCACATTTGCGAGAGCATAAAATCTTTCTTGGATTTCTAAGCATCAACTTTAACTTTTCATTGAGTTCGTTTCTTGCCATATACGGAGTATTATGTTACCGTATTTTCTTAACAAATGGAAATGAATTATTAAAAAAACTAATCCTCATTTATCCTCCCCTCCCTCAAACAAACAAGACCTAAAGGTGGATTTTTTATAAGAATTTTGATGATACTTTTTCACTGTTTTCTGGTTTAGATGCGTGTGTTTGAACTGTTAGTTGTGTTGTTGTACACTAATGCAGATACTGAATATTGGTTGGTAGGAAGTTGATCCCAATGTCGAACATGAGGAAGGTGGTAGTTCTAATGGAATGGATGGGGTTTTGTTTGATCTGGCAAATGCTATTCCTGGGATTGACGAGGCCATGAGTTTTGCTGAGATGCTAAAGTAAATCTCATTTTTCGATGAAATGCTGAAACACAAATTATATTTGGGTTTCCATGAAGAATTTAAAATAGTACGGAGTACAATAATATATCATGCTGATTTTCTTTTACAGATTAGTGCAAACCATGGATTACTCTGTTATAGTATTTGATACGGCACCTACGGGCCACACACTACGACTATTACAATTTCCCTCAACCCTTGAGAAAGGCCTTGTCAAAATGATGAGTTTGAAGAGTAAGTTTGGTGGCTTCCTGAGTCAGGTGTGCTATCAACCTTACTACATATTTTTTTGTTCTTTCCTCTTGTTTAGTTTCTATCTTAAAAGTTTGCTTTTATGGGAATGGTGTTCATGAATATTATTAACACTCATATTTTAGCAATGCCCTTCCCCCCTTATGGGTACAACTATGTGGGGGCAATATGGGTAATCTTTATTTGGCTTACTTCACATTGTTTACAGATGGGTCGTTTCTTTGGAGTTGGTGATGAATTTGGTGAGGATGCAATCCTGGGAAGGCTTGAGGGAATGAAAGAGCTTATTCAACAAGTTAGCAGGCAGTTCAAGGATCCGGTAAAAAATTTGTTTAAATACCATCAGTTCCCTCAAATAACTATTTAAAGAAAAGTTGTGGCTTTTGAGATTGGGAACCCCAACACTATTGGTTTATTGTGATTAAAAGTAACAAGTAAAAATAAAATAGAAAAGACGACAACTTCGTCGTTTACTACTACTTCCAAGTAGGGGAAAGGTCTGCTTTCACTCACCTTCCTCAGAGCCTACTTTGTGTGGAATTTTACTGGGTTTGTTGTTGCCGTTGTTATTTTATATTGTAAAGTTTGTGTCACTATGTGGTATTATCAATGTATTGCATAGTGAGAACTAAAGTGGCAAGTGCACACTAGGAACTTCCTCATCACTGTTTTTTACAGGACTTGACAACCTTTGTTTGTGTCTGTATCCCAGAATTCCTCTCCCTATATGAGACGGAGAGGCTTGTGCAAGAACTCACTAGGTTTGAGATCGACACTCATAACATTATTATTAACCAAGTGATTTTTGATGAAGAAGGTGCACTTTTCATATTGTGTTCTTTCTCTATTAATACTATCAAATCTTTTAAGGGTTTTTTTTTGTTTTGAAAATTAACTTCCAAACACACTCTTATTTAGCTGTTGAGTCCAAGTTGCTCAAGGCTAGAATGCGGATGCAACAAAAATACTTGGATCAATTCTACATGTTATATGACGACTTCAACATTACCAAATTACCCGTGCTGCCAGAAGAGGTACTACAAATTCTCTCACGCCCACATGGACTATTTTTGAGAATGTACCCTTTCTCTAGTTCCCTTATACTTAGTTGGTTTTATGACTGCATGTATAAATGGTATTTATGGGCTAAGGACTCGTTTGGTTAAATTATCTACTTGAGTCTGCTGAATAAACCGAAAGCTACTTATTCTACTTACTAGTGCAAGCATAATAAGCCGACTTTGGTTACCAAACAGGGCATAAGCCTTCCCTTTCTGTTCATGCATGAGTAGGTATACTTCTAAAAAAAATTACCCAACTGATCAACACTTTTTGGTAGGTCTGTGGGGTTGAAGCTTTGAAGGCATTTTCGCATAATTTTACAACGCCGTACCGGCCTTCCCTTGTACGAAGCTCGCTAGAAGAAGTAGAACAGAGAGTGTGCACACTAAGGGAACAACTGAGTGTTGCTGAAGCAGAACTGGAAACACTTAGAAAAGGAAAACAAAAGGTTTGAGCTTTGGGTGTGCACACATATTGTGTCTTCTTCCTCCCCAGAGGAATCTGTTTTTTTATGTTTTCCACAAGGATGTCATTTGAATTGTACACTCATTTATTTTATTTCTTTGTAGAAAACTTACTGCCCTGGTTTATTACGGAGTAGCATTATTTTAACCACAAAAATCCCATAACTCCGGCCTCAAAATTTCTTGATTCTTATTTCTTTTATTATTTAAATATTTAGTGTAAAGCTTCATATTTAAAAATAAGACCCAAAAGTTCTACAAAATTATGTTCTTTTATCAAATATTCCGTAGTTAATAAAATTTTCGGCTCTACAACAACAACAACAACAACCCAGTTAAATCCCACAAGAGTAGGGTCTGGGGAGGGTGTGTGTACGCAGACCTTGCCCCTACTCGAAAGTAGAGAGGCTGTTTCCAAAGAGACCCCCGGCTCAACGTCGAAAGTTGCATTGCTTGACTAACTGCTACTTCATTAATTAAAGAAGCGCAAATAGTTTAGATATCCATTTTGATTTATTCCATCACACCCCAAAGCCAAAAACAAGTGAAATTAAAGTCAACTAAACTTTCACATTGCAATTAACGTGAGTGAAGGATGGGTTGGGATCGAAATGGGATCGAGACTGGGCGGGAGGTTAGGGGTAAGAAATAAGAACTATCACAAATAGTTTTTTTTAATCGGTATTCGAATACATCATTGGACATAGAGTTGATATCAAATTATATTTTTTCCACTCAAATTAAAACCAGCATGAAATACGGTAAAAAAGAAGACTATTTAGAGAAAGGTACCCAAAAAAAATGAAGAATTAGAGACGTATTTTATGATAGATGACTAAATATGAAATTTACCCTCTTAAATAGATGAGATTCTCCACATTGTTGGAATTGAAATGAAAATTTTAGAGCAACGCTAAGTTCACAAATAGAATGATTACAAACTTCACAAATTTATTATTTATGATTTAAATTCTCATTTTATAATTATTTTAGACTAGTAATTTTTTTTATTAAAATTTACAAATAATAAATTTATAAAATTTGTGACCATTGCATATGTAAAACAAGCATTTCTCTAATTTTAAGATGGGGAGTAGTAATCTAGGGAGTACTTTGACTACTTTCTATATAAAATAAAGAAAATATCCTTAAATATTTAAACTATCTGAAAGATGAACATTGTGGATTGAGATACTCATTTGAATGATCTGTTTCACATATCAAAATCGTTTTTTTAAATGAGATTTATAACAAAAAAGGACCACGAAATTTGTAACGGAGTAGATATTAAGATCATACTCACTCAATGTATATTTTCTGTCATTTTTTTTTAGAATCGGCTGAAATCAGTAGGTATCTAAGTAAAGATTGGTTGCTGAATCTGATTCTAGTTGCCAGAATCTGATTTCCAGGCTGTTTGGGGTTCTACACAATCAAAGTTAAAGTTCAAAGCTGCTTGAATTTCTTGGCACCAAGAAACCATAGGATAGCCACCCTCCTATAATAGTGTTCTTCTTTTCTTGTTTTTCTCCCCATTCATAGATATAAAATGGTAGATTGCGAAATACATGAAGAATCTGAGGTGGATTGGATCCCGGGCAATTCACGAATCGCGGTGGCTTCCGATGGGAGTTGATTCAAGTTGCAATACGACTCCCCGATAGTTTGCCCTAACATTTATTCCTCCTCCCACCCCAAATCCATTCATCCGCCGCTGCTTTCTCAATCGCCGCCGCCCCCGCCGCCATGGGTCAGATTCTCGCCAAATACGAAGGTAAACATTACCTCCGCCGTTTTGATTTCAGATCACTGCACTCTTCAGGAACTAAAGTGACTCTGTGTATCTGCCATTATTATTGTTTCTTGATTTTTTTTTTCCCCCAAGATTTGGTTCCTGGCTCATTTTTCATTTAAAAACTACTCCATTTATTGTCACAAAAATGTTCTTTCAAGAAATTCACCAGTCACCCATCAATAAAAAAATCCTACTAGTAGGAATTTTGGTGATTTCTTGTTTGGTGAATTGTTTTGTGTAAAGAACAGAGCATTCTCATGACTGGAATATCTTGTGCATGAACCAGATCTCTGGCACAATTTCGGCAAAGAATGGAGAGAAAAACAAACACGGCAGATAACCGACACGGTGTTTGAACGGTTCAAGAAGGACTCGGACAGAGTGAATCTGACTTTTGAAGATCTCTACATTTCTGTGCTGCTTATATTCAAGTAAGATATCGTATTCGTTTCTCTCTGGTTTCTTGTCTTGTCTATCTGCTGCTATTAGGCTGTGAAGAGAATGACTAACTCCGCGTTGTTCTTATAGCGATATAAACAAACGTTTGCCAGGGCCTCACCTAGACCCTCCTTCAAAAGAACAAGTTAGGGCCTTGATGAAGGTATATATATCCTTCCCTTCGCGCCCTACAATTTCGCTTTGATATTTCTTTGAATAAACCGTTAGCAATGCACGCTCTTTTTATGGACGGTTTTGGAGGGCCGAGTCTATATCTTAATAAGTATAGCATTCCTAAAAGCGAATGAAAGGTTATCGAAATGCCATTCAATTATGTTCATAGTTACATGACCTAATTATATATTCAACTCCAAGATTGCTTTTTTTTCTTCTTTTCTGTTCAAAAACACAGAAATATGATTTCAACCTTGACGGGGAGTTGGACCGCGAGGAGTTCAACAAGTTCATCCTGGAACTAACAAAAGACACGTTCTTCACAATCAGTCAAAAGTTGACGACTACACTGGCAGTGGCACCAACAGTGGCTTTGCTGACAAAGAAGACAACCGAGGACATACCCGTGGTTGGGAAGGTGGTGCAGAAGTTGCCCAGTTCGGTCTACGCATCCCTTGTCACCCTCGCAATTGTCCTCTTCCAGAAAGCAACTGAAGGCAAGTAATCAAACACCGGTTCGGTTTCACGACACCCGGCCCTAAGGGCAGTTGATAAGGTCTTTTTCTCCACTTTGTGGGGGAAATAAAGGTGCATTTAATGCACTTTTATTTTTCTTTTTGGCAAAAAGGTGCATTTATATGCGATATAAACGCACCTGGTTGCCAAGAAAGTCACGATGAAGGTGCAATAAATGTACCTTATCAACATCCCTTGGGACCGTTATTAGCGAAACTGATAAAAGATTTATTCTTTGTATTGTAAATGAACTCAACTCGCAGTTCCAATAACATTCCCGCAATTTCTGTGCATGTATGCTATTGTTTGTGTTGATTCAACTGATATAGAACAGATGGATTCATATAGTTGTAGGAAATTAGAATGGAAGACGAACGCTGCGAAGCAGCGTTAACAAAGAATGAGAAGAATAATTTGATAGAATATAACGAATTGCGTAGAGCGCTTTTAGATCAAAATTATTTCGAGGTATATCAAAATACTTTAATTGGATAAGACGTTAATCAAGAACAAGTCTTTCGAATCATTTTTTCAACCATACCCAAGTGTCTGTATTTATAGATATGAAAATCAACGATCAAACATGATATTTCGCATGAAAATTTGTAAACTTTCGCGCAGTAGGGATAAATGCAGACTTTCGATGTTTTGGACGCAAACGTTCGTAGAGTTTGGTAAAAATTGGTCTTTATCCGAAATTCAAGATTCTCTAATATTTTTGGACTCCGTTCGAAGGACCCCGGTCAGAGGCTCTGGGGGCTACCGCCATGAATTCGTAATATCGTTGAACGAGTGCACACTCCGTGCCCCTAACTCGTTACACAACGTGTATTCAAGATGTACCTGATAATTTTTCAAGAGAATGCTTTTTTTTTTTTGGCAAATAAAGAAAGAATGATGAAAGAAAAGAAAGAAAATATGCAAATTCTTGTGTTTAATTAGTAGCATTCGTTTTTTGAAAAAATGATTTAATTTCCCCATTGTCGCACTACTCTCTCTCTCTCTCTCAAAGAATTAACGCTCTCAAAAACATTGAAAAACTTCTTCTTTCCTGCCTGCAGATCTCGATATCTACTTCTTTGCTTTGATTTTTTTTTAAAATTTAATTAGATCCGAATTTTAGTTTTGATTTTTTATTTTTAAAATTTTTAATTTCAGTTTTTTTACTATGTATCCTTTAGATTATAATCTCGCAGCCTCCTTCAGTCTCCCATTTTAAATTTTTATTTTGTTTTGATTGTCGATCCGTGTATTTTAATTATAAATTTCAGTTTTCAGTTTTTAATTGGTTTTAGTTTAATTTAAAAAAATTAAAAAAAGTATTGTACAAGTAATATTTTAAAAGAAGAGTTTGCACTAAATATGACTAAAATGTTAGTCATTTCGCTATGTAAGACTTAAATTTTTTTATTCCCTAATAGGACTTAATAATGTCTACTAGAAGAAATAATGTCCAGTGATAATGAATATTTAGAATAAATTCCCGCAGTGGGAAGAATCTGGACATGGATTTCCTCAGTTGGAAATCGGCTTTACCAAAATCAAAGATTGAAAATAATTGACTGAAAAAAGTCAAAAATAGACAAATATTCAGAGACGGAGAGGTAGTGGTATACATCTATATGCATCTACTTCCTCCGTCCCATTTTATAGCGCCTGTTTTGGTTTACGATGTTTGACTGAAATTATTTTCAAATCATTTTATATGACAAATGGTATATAGTTAAAAAATAAAAATTACATATCAAAATACTACTTCAAAAGATCTACAAAACTAGTAGTGACAACAATATTTTATTTTATCAAATTACTGACGAAAATAGAGAAAGAAAGTGAATGAAATTTGACCCTGTGAATAGTAAACATGCATTATAATTTGGGACAGAAGGAGTATTTTTTAATGTTTTTATTAGAGAAGTTATAATAGTCTATTAAAAAGAGAAAAGAATGAGAAACCATTAGTACTTCCATTTGACACAATCAGTAGGCATGAAGGACACAACCATCTTCTCCAAATCATATTCCACCAAGAAATTTGTGTGCGCCACATTCCCAAAAACCGGGACACCCTTTGTCGGGGCAAAAGCCAGACACCCAACCCCATCCCCAATGTCCACAAACGTGTTCGCCGGGCCCAACCTCACCTCCCCGCCCTCGAACCTCGCCGTCACCGTCGGGACATCCTCCCATGCAAGATCCTCGTAACACAACCTTAGGAATCTCCCCGGGTTCGGCTTCATGGGCTCAAACCGTATTGATTTCTTGACCATGTCCTCGAGTCCCGCGTACATGTCTGTGGGGAGGAAGGTGAACGTGGTCCCGGAATCGATGTAGATGTTGCCCTGGGTTGTTGTTGCTGACTCTAGTGATGTCTGGTTATTGACAGACAGTCCCAGCAGAGTCAGGTAGTAAGATGTGGTCTGGGGCTTCAGGACCAGCGGGGTGGAAACCACCCCGGGGAGGCCCTGAAGCGCCAGCGCGGGCATGCTGCCGAGTTGCAACTTGCTCGACACGTTCAGGTGCGACAAGGGAACCAGACAATACGAAAACCTGCGGCCCCCGATTTGGTTGACGAGCGAGTAGGGAGAGGACCCGAGTCCCACTATCCCCGACACGGAGGTGTCGTTGTTCCCGAAGTGGTTGCTTTCTCCACACCCGAAAATTATGCCGGGGAACGACACGTTGTGTCGTCTTTCGGAAAATGACGTCGCCGCCGCCGGCCGGAGATCTCCGGTGGGAAAGTCAAATCTTTCCGCCGGTGGTAATAGGTCCAAAGTGAATGTGTCTTTTGCAATTTCCCCGTGACTATATGTCCCATCATTGTACCTAGCAAATGTACAAAGGACCCGTGAACTGCTCTTCATGCTTAATTAGTGTTTGCTAAGTATTCAAATTAAAACTATTTTTACTAATACGGTTTATTTAGCGAATCAAAATTGAAATTTGATTTTTAATCTCCTACGTTTGGGGACAAGTTATTTATTAATGTTTTCGTTTTAAATATTTTTTTAATATAATGATGCATGCAAACTGATTTTGAAAATATTAAAATTAAACATTAACTTTAGATGATCTTCTTAAAAAAATTAAAACTAAACCCTAAATGTATCCTCAAACAAGCCCTCAAGGATCCACGGTGAGACCCAAGTTAACTTCATACAATTTTTTTCTTTTAAAAGTTGAAACATACTCGAAAAGAGAGGTGGCCAATAAAATCAAGATTTGGTTTAAAGAGTAAAATATTTGGAAGAAAAGTTTCTTTTTATGAAAAGAAAAAGACGAAAAGTGGGAGCTTTAATTAAGAAATTTACAAAAAAAAACAAAAAGAAATCTTAAAATTTTATTTGAAGACAAAAGAAATAAAAATTATTACTCAGTATTAATTTAAAACTAATCAATTAAATAAAGCTATATTTGAATATTATTTCTAAGAAATGAAATAAAAAAGAATATTAACGTAATGTAAAACAAAAATACCTTGCATTGTAGAGACACTTTTTATTAGCCCGGCCGCACCGGCTTCCGGGCAGACCGGTGCACTCCTTGGAGCGACAGTGAACCGGTTTGTAGGTCCGGGAAGAACCCGGGCTAAAAACAAGAGAGTCATTATTCTGGCCGGAACAGTGAACGCCACGGCAAGGTGGCCGGCATTGCAGCCAGATGAGGTCGCTGCCGGTGTCGGCCACAGCCAGCCTGACGGCGGCGGAAGGGGCGGCCCCGACGGAGATTCTGACGAGGTACGTGCCCTTAGGGTCGGGAAGAACCCCGACGGAAGCAGGGGAGTCGCCGCCGCCGGCCCGGACGAGTCGGCCCAGAGAGTGGCGAAAAGCGGATTTCATGCGCTGCCGTTGGGAGAGAAGAGAGTCGTAGAGGGGAGAGGCCGGCGAGTCTCTGTGTACGAGCTCGATTGTGAAAGCTCCGCCGCCATTTTCTTGAGCTCCGCCGCTGGTAATAAGGGTGAGAATGGAGACGACGAGGACGAGGTTGTTTTTCAGGTGGGAGGCCATATTGATTTGAGGGGTCAAAACGAAATGAGATAAGAGGCTACATTACAAATTTACAACTCATGCAATAGAACACTCCATCCCTTCTAAATTATTTGTCACATTTCTATTACCGAGGCAAAATATCAAGTTTTTTCAATTCATTTTATTTACATATTGGTAAAGAAATAAAAAATAAAAATTACATATCAAAAAACTACATGAAAAGTTCTTCGAAATAAGAGGTGTCAAGAATATTTTATTTTATCAAATAATCAATAAAAACGTAGAAATAAACAAAAGTTCCCGCAACTGTTGAAATAGTAAATGTGGCAAATAATTTGGGACGGAGGAAGTAATTCATTATAAATTATAATGTCTACTGCATCCGTTCTAAAAAAATTCTTCCTCTTTCATTCTTTTACTTCCAAGAAAACACTTCCATTTTCTATTAAAAAATCACTTTTACCCTTACTTTTTCATACCCTACCTATCACATCATACTTTTTTTCTAATACTCAATTCATCACATCTTACTTTTACCAATCACATCAAGGGCAAAATTGGAAGTCAACTACAGTTTTACACTTTCTTATTTTTACACAATGTCAAAATAGGAACACTTTTATAGAATGGAGGGAGTATATGTGCATAATTTCAATCACTGCACCCTAGAAATAACTCATGGAATGTATGACAAAGTGTATGATATGCCAAAGTTATGCAATAATATTTCAATTGTTCAAATTAATACAATATGCTAATGCAATACAAAGAATTTGTATTATCATTTTGTGGAGTGAACCATCATTCTAGTATGCACAAAATAAAGGTGCATATCTACGGTGTAAAATTCGGGATATGATACAAGTTTTGGAGTACAAGTGAGGTTAATTCGCATAATTTTACTCTTTATTTTGAAAGGTACTCATTTAAGAACTAGGTTTGTATTTTCTTCCTCTCCAATTTATTTATACACTTATTATTTCAAGGTCAAAGTTTAAGTATTTTATTTTTTGATTTCGTAATTTATTTGATAAAAAATACTCTCGTCGTCCCAGTGTATTTTGTCTAGTTTAACATTTTGAGTCAAACAAGAAGAACTTTGAGATTCAAGACTTTAATTAAAAAAATACTGTAATGTAAATTAGTGTAGAAATAAGTTTATTAGATTTATTTAGTTGAGTACTTTCTAAATTTTATTTTATTATACCAAAAAACATTACTTCGTATTATATATAGAAAGACACTAGAACAGAGGTAGTAGTATTGTATCGATAGAAATTTTTTGAATATTTTAGGTTTCAACTTCATTTTAATTTTTATATAAATAGAACTAAAAAAAAATACCATCTCTATCCGAAAATATTATTTTTATTAGACTTTTCACGGTCTTCAATATTGTACTTTGACCATTGTATCTATACATATAAAAATTTGATATTTCAAAATTACGTTTCGTTGAAAATATATTAATATTAAATTTTTATTATAGTACTCCCTCCGTCCCCCAGTTTTTGTCCATTTTCATTTTTACACACCATCCGATGCACTTATTTAATCCATTTTATCTTGTAATTTGTATATTAAAAAATTATAGAAATTATATATTAATAATATATATGTTAAGACAAATCAAACAAGATCACACATGACTATATTTAGGCTTACACATTGAGAAAATTTGATGAGTCAAAATGCTTAGATGAACAGTTCCAAAAGTCAAAAGTGGACAAAAACTGGGGAACGGAGGGAGTACTATGTAGCTTTTATACAAATGAATATCAAAATTTACAACATTGACCAAGAAAAATCAATATATAAAAAAACACTTCTGGAAAAGAATTTACAAGAAAATCCGTTGTTGTAATCTCAATTCTCAAATACTCGGTAATGTCCAAAAAAGAGTATTGATTATAGGGTGGGAACTTAAATACGGAGGAGTAGATTTGGCGTTACAGTTGACTAATTGTTGTAAAGGAGCGGTGCCAATCTTTATTAATGAGAATAATATTTGGTTTTCGGTTTTGGTTCAATCGAGTTTAGTTTATGATCGGTTCAATTCAGTTAGTTTTCACTTTTCAACTATCTTTAAAAAAATTGTTTTTTTTTGGTTTCAAACCGAAACCGACCGTTGCTCAGCCTTATTTCCAGTAGTGCTCTAACATAATTATATTTTGATATAATCAATGGGTTGCGTCTTCGATTAACATTAACGTTTTAAATAAGATTTTGATTACGTAAATAAATTTTTAAAACACCAAAACTAAATACTATCTTTAGATAAATTTTTTTAAAATGTTAATTTTAATTTTTAGCTGACTTCGTTGGAAAATGGGTCCAATATTTGTACCAATATACTTTGTACTACTCCCTCCGTCCTACAAAAAAGTTCCCATTTTAAATAGTATTTAGTCAAATATTTATACGCTTTGACTACATATTGTGAGAAATGTATATTGAATTATAAAATAAATTTAATTTAATTGGATTCATCTTATGATCTAGTTTTGATATCTCAAATTTTTTTAGCATTTCTTTATTTAGATTATATTCAATTTATGGTCAAAGCATGTAACTGTTTGACCAATTTATGGTCAAAATGAGAACTTTTTTGTGGGACAGGAGAGTAGTAATTACTCCATAAAATATATGGAAAGGGTGAAGAGTCATTTGTTCAGAGAAAAATAAATAGTTAAAATTTAGGGTAATTTACTTAAATAACACTAAAACATAATGACTTTCTTAAAGAGAAAAATTATGAATTACGGAGTAATATTCTTTACAAAGTACGGAGTATTTGAAAAGTAATTCTCAGGGTCCGTTGGTATACGGAATTGAAAGAATTGGAATTGAAACTCCATGAGATTCAATTCCATAGAATTGAATTCAGCAATTCCAATTCATTTTTTGTATTATCAATTCCAAATCCACATAAATTTTTTGCTACCAAACGCCAGAATTAGAATTGAAGTTCTCAATTCCAATTCCATACTTCGAATTGCATGAACCAAACGGGACCTCAAATTTTCTTGATGTGAGTTGAGTAGTTCCCGGAGACGGTTAGTCCCGCCAAAAGACGGTTATTCAACCTGCAAATTCCAGTATCATCTAATCATCTTCTTCAACCAAACGCCACATAAACTCACAATCTGTTAAATTTCCCAATATTTCTTCTTCAACTGAATACAGAGAGATTTCACTGAAGAAAAGAAATCCCAATGGAGTATCGCCGTTACAGTTTCTTGAACATTCTTGCCTTCGCCGTGCCCCTTTTCTGCCTCCTCGTCACATGGGCGGCGTCCACCACCACCACCACCGTGCAACCATCTCAGCCGCCGTCCTCTGTCCATGCAGCTGCCGAAGTCCTCCGCGCACGTGGCTATTCGCTCGTCGCTTCCACCCTCTCCGTCATGACCGCCGGTAACGCCAACTTCTCCGGCACCATCATGGCCCCGCCGGATTTCGCGTTCTCCTTCGCAATCTCTAAGTTCATCTCCCCCAACCGGCGATTGCCTCACCGCCCCTCCGCTGCTATCCTGTTGTACCACACGCTCCGGCAGCCGCTCGAGTGGCGCAATCTCTCGTCGCTGGCGGACGGGAACCAGATCCCGACGCTCTTCAACGGAAATTGCCTCCTCTTCAAGACCTCAAATGGGGACGTCTCGATTTCAGCATCCAGGAAAGAATTCTTCGCCGTGAGAATCAGACAGCCGGATATGTACGCCGACGACCGCCTCGTCGTGCACGGAATCGACGGCGTACTGGACCCCACGTCGGCATCGAAATGCTCTGTCTCAAGTTATCATCCACCCCAGGTGGCTCGTGACCCACCGCGGGTGGATCGGAAGTTTCTCGATCACGCCGTTAGAGCTCTCCGGCGAAGGGGATTCGCCGTCGTAGCGGCGGCCTTATCGATCCGGCGATCGGAGATGTTAAGATTGGACGCCGTTTCGCTGTTCGCGCCGTCCGATCGGGTGCTGTTCTCGAATCAGGGAGGATTCGGATTCGATTTGCGAAGCCACGTTTTGCCGCAACGACACCGTTTCGAGGACCTCGCTAGGTACCCGCCGAAAATCACGAGTTTCCCGACGCTGGCGGCGAACAGGCAGCTGACGGTGGATTCCGTCGACGGCTCCGTCACTGTCAACGGCGTCAGAGTCAACAGCACGGATGTGTATCAGAACTGGTGGATCGTTGTCTTCTCTATTTCGGAGCCTTTAGACGCGGCTCTCCCCTGCGGCGGCGGGATTCAATTCCCGGCTCCGATCCGACCGTCGGTCCACGCGCCGGTGATGGAAGAGTTTCCCAGTGTCGAACCGCCTTCTCCGAGCTCTACCGTAGACGTCGACGGATCTCAGTGTCGGATTTCTGATTTCCCCGGCGAGATCGAAGGCGGAGACCTCCTCTGCCCTGTTGCCGCCGGCAGGAAGTTGATGGAAGGAGGATCATCTGCTCATGAAGACGTTGGGCAATCTGGACCGCCGGATAATGGATCACTGCCGTTGGCTTCAGATGTCATTCCATCCGACGGTCACGAGAACGGTCAACATTCCGTTGACGGCGGAGAGGGAGATAGAGATCAAGTGCGTGCGGCTCCAGTGAAGTACCCGGGGAACATAGCCGATGATTTGTTCTTCTACTCCTAGCTTAGTTCCCGCCCGCCAGGTGGCGCATTGCTAGTTGCCCACTCTTGATCCATCGGTGAAGTTCAAATTTGTAGTTTTGTACCGAATTTGTACATATTTTTGCAACAGTGGAAGCACCTATGAACATTTTTTTTGTTGTTGATAGAGTTAAGTACTTAAAAGTTAGACATTTGTGGTTCGTATCCTTCCAGTAAATCTCCACTTGGCCTGATCAAAATTGACCCTCACACCCTTTCAATTGCACTTTGTAAATTTAGTTGACGTTGGAATCCATAAAATTAATTCTAAAATTATCTAAAATTACGGGGTGTAATTTAAGAGGACAAAGAGATTAATTTTGATTAGGTGGGGAGGAAATTTATCATGAATTAAGGACAACAAGTGTAATTTTTTCGAACGAGATATCGTAGACTTCTTATTGGAACCCATGTCATCGTGACATAGATTCCAATCACCCATCATATGGAC